CTCAAAAAAATCGGATCCCTCTACATTTTTTTTTCCCAAAATTTGAGCACAAAAAAAAAAAAAAAAAAAATCGATTTAACGAAAGAAAAGGAAAAATTCGAAATATACGAACCCCTTTGGTGGAAGTTTGCCTATGCTTTCTGGGCTTTTTGATGCCGTTCTTGTGGGCCTTGTAGGACTGGTTATGAGCAGTGTGGTTCTTCGATTTCGCCATTGTTCTTTGAGGAAAAAAATAATTATAAAAAATACAGAAATTAATTGAGCTTAAAATGAAGAACAAGAACAATGTTACATGAAAGCTATTAGAAAAAATTACGGACTCACCAAAAGGGATCGGATTGAATGTTAAGCTTGAGCATGAGGTAGAACCAGAGACTGAGACGACCTGCAATTCCCCTGGTGAAAAGCTCTTGGATTTGGAATTAGGGTTTTGTTAAGCTTATGAAAATGGGATCTTGAACTTTGCTATTATGCCCTTTTTCTATGCGGTATTTACTATGGGAACCCACCTAAAGACAATGTCGTCGTATTTAGTCATTACTGTCGTTTTCTTACCTTGTCCGTTTTAAGTCTGTGTCGTTTCTCATACCTTGTCGTTTTTATGCCGCTTGCGGTATTTACCATGGAACCCACCTAAAGACAATGTCGTCGTATTCAGTCATTACTGTCGTTTCTTACATTTGTCGTTGTTAATTTGTGTCGTTTTCCATACCTTGTCGTTTTCAAGTAGTAAGAAGATGGTGACCGCAACAGCATGATAGCACCTACTTGTATCTTCAAATCTTTCTATCACAATATTATGTGTTATGTTCAATTTTCCACTTATTGTCCAAAAAAAAAAAAAATCCACTTCTTGTTGTGTTCCTATCGGCAGTATACATAGGAAGAAAGTGGGATATTGTGCTTGTCACTAGGCTTTGCTGTTTTGCAGGTTGTATTTGATGAGGGTCCATCTCCTTTTCTTTTTATTGGAATTCAAAAAGTAGACTCCCATGTCCTGTTTCTGTAGATGTATCTGGAATGTCCTAGTAACAAAAAACAGAGCTCAAAAAATCAAAATAAAATTTATGCATCTTCAACTACACCTCGTTCGTTTCGCTGATTCGAGTTTAGAATTCGAGTTGAGATATGATTGTATGTGAGAGCTTTTTACTGTAGTAAAAAAATTAGATGTGATTATTTATGAGAGCTTTTTACTGTAACAAAACTCGAATTCTAAACTCAAATCAGCGAAACGAATGAGAAATATCATTCTTTTCTAGATACGTAAGCATTGCTCTAAGCCATTACAATTATTAGTTGTTTCCTCGCTGAAAGTTGGTCTGGTCATCCCACTTTCGTAGACGTGTGGTTCCACTACGCGCCATAAGATCACCCGTGTAGTTTTTGGCCTCTTGGTATAAGAATATTGTTTGTAATTGTAGGCTATGCAATTGAAATAACACATTTTATGTGGCTGAATATTCATCAAGTACAAAAGCGTGGTATAATGGTCTCTTTTTTGCACAGAACCAGTCATGCGCTGAACTCCCATAAGAATTCTGTCAAATTAAAAAGAGGCAAGTGGGCAGCAGCTACTTATAGTTCATATGGACCACGCAACACAATGAGAAAATCGGTGCTAAGATTATATTGAAAGAATAGATTTCGATGTAAAAAAAATATTGTAATCATTTAAAAAAATATATAAAAATTTTATGAAAATTGATAAGTTATAAATGGGCAATAAGTAATTGGCTATTTTTTTTACCCTAAATAAAAATCTTGTATAAATAGCAGACACAATTTGAGACTGCCGATCTTTTTTTTCATTTATTATTTAAGGGAAGTAACTACTTATTCATGGATCTCACACTCACAACAAGAAAAATCATCGGTAATATTATTTGGAAAGATTAATATTCATTACAGAAAATATTAAAATTAATTGAAATTAAATCGAATAATCGAAAGATGGGCAACAAGTGATCGGGGTATTTGTATTTTACCGTAAAAAAAAATCTCCTATAAATAAAGGGGACATACAATTTAAGACTAAAGGAAAAAAAAAATATCCTAAAATGAAAGTCACTTGAGACAAATGGGAAGAACACTTGCTATTAGTGTAAAGTTGAAAACTAATTTTAGGTAGGAGAGGTCCACACATATAGGCCCAGTTTTTTTCACTAATTCGAGTTTAAAATTCGAGTTTTGTTACAGTAGAAAGCTCTCCGAAACAGTCACATTTAACTTTTTTGTTACAATAAAAAATTTTCACATAAAATCACATTTCAACTCGAATTAAAAACTCAAATCAGCGAACTAAACGGGTCCATAATATATGTCACTATCACTATACACAAGGACTCAACTTTGTCTGTGTTTGGCCATCTCTTCAGCAATGATATTCCACAGTCGACATACAAACATTAACTACATCCCGCGTTTCAAACACTATTCTTACTCGTGTGGACACAAACAGCTCTTCCCCTTTCACCTTTGACTCTTCTCCACACGTCATTATCTCTCTATATATACAACCACACACCCACATACATATATTCATTTCATAGTCCATAATCAAACAAAGCAAAAGCAAAAACTAATTAGCAAAACATCCATAAGCATGGGAAATCACCATTCATCGTCTTGTTTCATGACTTTCTCATCAGTGGCTGATCAAACGGCAAAGCTTTTCGACGCCCAAGGAAACCTTCTCCGGCGAGTCAAGCTCCCGCTGAAAGCGGCGGAGGTCATGCTAGAAGAGGAGCCGGGCCACGTCATCTCTCCGGCGGAGGATATCCGGCGAACCGGCCGGTTCTGTGCCATGAGAGCCGAGGACGAGCTTTTAGCTAGAAAGGATTACTTGCTTGTGCCTCTCTGTAAAGTCAACCGTAAGGCCTCCGCATCGGACATGGCGATCATTGACTTCATGGCCTTCAAAAAGTCAACGCGGTCTCGGACGACAAAGAAGAACGGTGGCTCTAGGGTTTCACCGGCGGCTATGGCCGAAGGGACGAAAGAGGAAGGTGATCAAGATCAGTTGGTGATTAGGGTTTTGGAAGGGAATGATAATCATAATAACAACGGATTTCTGAGTTTTCCGAGGGGCTATATATATTGCAGAGGTTGGAAACCTGCTTTGGAAACCATAAGAGAAACATGTTAAGGATTTAAATTACGGAGGTTTTTTTTCTTAAAAAAAAAAAAATTATGTTTTCCCCCTTTTTATTAGTGGGAATTTTGGTCAGAGGAAAATGGCCACAAAACAAGGCCAGTTTGATCAGTGTTTATGTTGTATTGAGCTTGTAAGTGTTAATAATTCATAGATGGTGAATTTGAGTTGGAATACTTTTACTAGTACTGTTAATATATAAATTCTTATGGTGTCATAAGCTTAGTCTGTTAGAGTAGTGGTGAGTGTGAATTTGAAGAAGATATCCTTGACTGGAAATCTAAATGTAAGTGATTTTTGATTGAAAATATGAGTGATTCATACTTAGAAAATGATTGGACTAGTTGTGGTTGTTGTTACTGTAGAATGTTGAGAATGATGAAGCGCATTTGTTGACAAGAATCATCATATATTGAGTGATCTAAAAAAGATCCCCAATGAGTGTGGCAAACATTTCTTATGCTTACTGCACCATAAAAAACCTAGGAGGACAAATATATATATATATATATATATATGAAAGTGTCTGACCGTAATGATAGTTATATAATTCTGTATACATTGTGTATATTTATATGTAAATTGTGTATATTTACATGTAAAATCGTGTATATTTAATATGAAATACAACAAATCAATCAATATACATATTTTCATGTTATGTGTTCACTAATTGTTATAAAAAATACATGTTATGAAGATTAATATACATTGTCGTTTCTTATAACTTTACATGTAACTATACACAATTTATATGTAAATATATACAGTTTATGCAGAATTATACACTGCCATTCCGATCAGGCACTTTTTAAGTGTCTGACCAGAGACCTTACCTATATATATAAAGTGAGACAACTATTTCGACTGCCTTTTATTGCAATTATACATAATGCATATACGTACATGTATTATGGAGTGGAAGTCAAACTTTAGAAGGGCTTTCGTGGTCCAGCACTGGTTTGGCAGACAACGACTCGAGCCCAGCAATGTTTATCACAAACAAACGGCAACATTAATCAACTTTTGTTTCTGAATAATGAACTTTGACGAGTTTATTAAGTTTTATGAATAATTGCAGCAGTGCCTTCAGTGACTGCATACATGCACAAGTATTTAGGATTAATTAGAGGAATACAATATTTGAATACATTACTTTTATTAAAAGATTTGAACCTAAATTACACATAAAACTGGAATAGGTGAATAATTCGGCTCTAACTATAATACCCTTACTGTTTTTTAAGTTGTTACGTCAATATTGCTCAAAGTCACTCATCACTAGCAATCAGTCACTCATCGGATAACCACTAGTCATCTACGAGCATTGATCGCCGTAGTTAATTGATGATCACAGTTTGTTGTCCTCACCGGTTGCTGGAGTCATCGGAATCCTGAATGACCATCGGTCATCTATTTCTTTTATGTATTCTGTAAAAATTAGTGGTCACTTGCTATATGATTGTTAGTTTACCAATCCATCTCAAAAGCTTAAGCTTTTAATAGGTTGGCCAACAATAGTTTTACACTTTAACACTTTCCTTCACATGTGGGCTGGACAATGAGCAATCACATGGGTAAATTAATTAGAAAGCTCAACACTTGAATATTTAAGCCTAAGATATATTAAAGACCCAACACATGATGACAATTTAAATGAGGATAAAGAGTGCAATTACATGAGTTTAAACTCATGACCTCATGCTATGATACCATGTTAGAAAATAAAGGAGGCCAAGGAATATGTGAAATATTTTATGTTTTTTAATTGTTAAAGTATAAAATTATTGTTGACTCACTTCTTAAAAATTTAAGTTTTTAAGATAGATTGGTAAACTGACAATGATAATCACCTAATAAAATCAATATGAGGACGTTTGGTTTATGTATTCAGAATTATTCTCGTTTTACGTGTATTTTTTATAAAAAAAATACTGTAAAAAATTATAAATTATGATTCAGAATCAGACATGATAAAAACACACACGCATACATAGATATGGAAACCAAAAACAAAAAAATGAAAATAGAGTCATAGATCTGGCCGACTTTGGTTAGATCTTGTACGAAGAGCCCAACTTTAGCCAGATCTTTGCCTGAGGCCTAGCAACGCTATGGGAAAGGACTCGCAAGGCCTGTGCAACTACAACAAGATGCGGCTATGATGCCTTATGAGGCTCATCATATCTAGCCGTAAGGCCCATTCAGCAAAGGCCATGGCCCATGAGCAGTGGAGCCACATTAACTTTTGAAGATTTAAATTTTGCCCCATAAATTTTTAAAAATTTTCGTTCTGCCCCTGTTTATAAGAAAAACGACAACTGTACTCTCACTCAATGTGAGGCCTCGAGTATTCTGTCCCAATGCGTCTCGAGGACCGCATGCAACTCTGGCTGGGATACGAGGAAAGTTTTTCATCGAAGCTTTCGAGTTAGACACCAGCAATGAGGAGATATTAGAAAACTGAAAAATCCTAGTAAATTTGCCCACACACAAATAAAGTATATAAAGAACCAGAACAAATCTAAAGGCTATTGGGGAAGGGTATAAGTGAATGTTAAAGAAGGGGTCTATTCAGTAGTTTTATTTATTTATTTTGTTATTCTTTTCAAATTGTTTATTTTATTTTTACCCAGACGGCAATCTGATCCTAAACGTTGGTTGAAATAAACAAACACCAAATAAATAAAATAAGATAATTATTAGCCAGTGAAGTTAAGCTGTGTCTATCATTCTTTAGTTTTCTAGTAACGATCATTATGCTCTTAATTGCTTATAAAATTGCTTTTCTTTTGTGTTTTTTCCCTTCTGTCATAATGATTACAAATAACAATATATCTTCTTTTGAAACTTGAAACTTTCTTCGCTCATGTTTGGATTATAATTTTTCCTCCTCTTTTTGCTTTAAATAATTTTATCCATTTTGTTAATTCTATATCTCGAGAAAACATTATTTCGCAGTCAAGTATCGTACGTAGAATAATTATCCTCCTACCTTATGCCCGCCGTGCAATCCAAGTTATTTAGCTAAGCTCAAATCCTACCGTCGCATTCAGTAATGTTTTGTAGTCCTTAGCCTTAATTAACGGGCTATAATTATTATATTTTGCTTTCTACGTAATTAAGTGGATTATAATTATCTGCAGCTTCAGTATACAGTTGTATGTCTAGATCGACAACTTGCTCGTTACATTTTTTTTTTTTAAAGAGATAGCATAATTAACATTCTCTCCCCAAACCGTACGTATACGTATGTAGGAAATCACACTTGCATCCAAAATGAACATCTTTGTTTAAACATGAATATCTATTCAGTTGGCCAATTCTCATTCTTACTCTGTTAGGGATATTGTTAGTTGGCAATTTTTTGGAAATGAGTTGTACAAAATTTAAAAACAGGGCCAAGTTCATGATTGATGTAGAACCAGATTTTGTGACAATTTTGATACGCTAATTGCTCCGAATATGGAATGTTTTTAAGAAGGAAAGCATACTTGGTCAATAAAAGATTTGAGAGATTTGGTACAATCATAGAGATTCCTGTGGATTAGAGATAAGATCTATTTGAGAAAAGAAAAATGGATTAATTGCTTGATGAGTGCTTCTATTATTGGAAAATGAGAAAAAGGTATAAAGGCTATATATATATATATATTGGTGATATATATGTGGGTGCATTAATGTGGAGAATAAGAGTGAGAGTGGCCTATGCTTTTATGTGAGAGCATGTGCTTTATAAGGTAATATGTGTGTGTGCAGACTAAATCTATCCCATTAAGAAGGATTTAAAATTGGCTATCGGATTGATTTAAAAAAGCATTGAATTGGCGCTTGACCTAGATTACACGTGAATTATTGTTATATATATAGCATATTGGTGTACGTGAGTTTCGCAGCCTTGGAAGTCAGAATATTGGGCTTTTATATTTTTGAGGTTTTAAAGCAATTCAAGGCTACCTATATGAGGGGGGATTTTGATATGCTAATTGCTCCGAATATGGAATGTTTTTAAGAAGGAAAGCATACTTGGTCAATAAAAGATTTGAGAGATTTGGTACAATCATAGAGATTCCTGTGGATTAGAGATAAGATCTATTTGAGAAAAGAAAAATGGATTAATTGCTTGATGAGTGCTTCTATTATTGGAAAATGAGAAAAAGGTATAAAGGCTATATATATATATATATATATATATATTGGTGATATATATGTGGGTGCATTAATGTGGAGAATAAGAGTGAGAGTGGCCTATGCTTTTATGTGAGAGCATGTGCTTTATAAGTTAATATGTGTGTGTGCAGACTAAATCTATCCCATTAAGAAGGATTTAAAATTGGCTATCGGATTGATTTGAAAAAGCATTGAATTGGCACTTGACCTGGATTACACGTGAATTATTGTTATCTATATAGCATATTGGTGTATGTGAGTTTCGCAGCCTTGGAAGTCAGAATATTGGGCTTTTATATTTTTGAGGTTTTAAAGCAATTCAAGGCTACCTATATGAGGGGGGCTCTTACAGATAATATTTACAGAAGAGAAAGTCTGTGATTAGTGAGCCTTTGAGTGTTGATTAAAGATCGTCCTTCGGGAGAAGGATTAGAAGCTTTCGGGAGAAAGCGCACTGCCAGCCGAAGGGATTTCGCTGTGCAATTTTGAAGATGAGTGGTGCTAGTTGGACAAGGCCATTAAGGAGATTCGACACAGCGGCGACAACGTCAAGGAGAAAGTCTTTAGGTGTATAAGTTCGATTGGTGTTTGTAATCCTTTGATCTTAGTGAATTGTTCACTGTCTGGGCGTGGCCTCACAGATGTAGGTGTGCGCACCGAACTGCGATATCAATTCCTTGTGTCTTTTATGTTTTTGTTGATCTTTCTGCACTTATAATTTGTTGTTGCTGAATCAATAAAAAAATATATCCATCTGCATGTATCTGTCATCAGTATTACAACAAGTGTTATAACACTTTTTGTGACACCGACCGAAAAACGGACCTTTCAATTGGTATCAGAGCAGTTCACTAACCCTTTGTTTGGTGAGATTTTGGGAGTTAGTCTATTGTAGTAGAGATGGATTTTCTACAAGAAGGAGGTTCGGTTTCACGCTCCACACTACTTGATGGCACTAAGAAGTTCAACAAAAAGAAAAAAATGCCAAACTTTGGCAATATCAACCATTTCCATAAGAATAAAGCTGCAGCAAATAACACAGAGATGAAGACTAAAAACATGGGTATTCAATGTCAAGAATGCTACGGTTATGGCCACAATTTCAATTCGAGTGTGCTAACACTCTCAAGAAGAAGAAGAAATCACTTAATGCTACCCGGAATGATGAAAAATCTGAAGGAAGTCAGGAGTATGATGATAATCATGTGAGTAATTTAGTTGCTTTCAATGTGTATATTGATCAAGGTGTTTCTACAAATAATGTTACAAACGGTGTCGCAGACAGTGTTACAACAAATGCTGAAACAGAATCTTTGAACAACGAAAACGAAGGAGATTTTTCAGATTTTGAAAGTAACAGTGATGGTGATGAGCTGATTGTTGATGCTATCTAGAAAACTTATAAAACTATGTTCAGCAAATGAGTTAAAGTGTGTAAAATGAATAAGTCTATAAAGGTGAGTTGATAAGCTTGTCAAAGAGAATGATGTGTTGAAAATAGCTGCTGATAATTATGAATTCTTCTTTTTTTATTCTTTGGGATATATCAAAAAAACAAAAAAACAAAACAAAACAAAATTAAAGAGAGGATAATCCACGTCAATATATATAAAAGTAAAACGATCAAAATCTTCTGTTTCGGTACGTCGACTCACTTGCATTAGTTTAAGTTTAAAGAGATTTCATTAACTAGTTATAGTTGAACGGTTCATTGACCTCTATTTCTTAATTAATTTGCACCAAAATCAAGCTAAAGAACAAAGACTATAATGATATCTCTATAAAAATTCGCACCAACAGCCGTAGGATGAACTCCAATAAGATCTCAAATCAGACTATATATAGAATAATACTCAACTATATATGTTACTTAGTTTAGTAGTTTGTCAAAATCGTAGGACCAAACCCACCTCAAAACCAACGACCCCCACAATATCAAATTAGTAGTTGCATGTAACTTAAGATGGAGCGGTTTAACAAACACCTCCTTAACCGAAAATGTTTCATAAACACATAATCTACGTCCTTAATATAACCCCACAAAACACAAACATAATTGGATCGAATTAGTCAGTTTCAAAATTTTCAAAATGGGTAATTCCATCGCACAAAGACCACAAAGAGAAAGCCAATCCACCGGAAAAGTGATCCTCTGGGACGGCTCGGTTCACGAGTTCGACAAGCCGGTGACGGCGGCGGAGCTAATGCTGGAGCACCCGCAGCAAGCGGTGGTGGAGTTCCAGCCGGCGGTGGCCGGGAAACGGCCGACGCCGTTGCCGGCGGACAAGAAGCTCGAGACGAGGAGGGTTTATTTGATGCTTCCAATGAAGCGAGCTCGGAAGGTGATGGCTCTGTCGCCGGACGAGATCCGGAGAGTTCTTCTCATCGCAAACTCGGCTCTAATGTCGCGGAAGTCGGCGAAGTTCTTGCCGTTTTTCGCGAGGATTTGCCCCGCGGTGAGTGTGGCGTCGCCGAAGAAGGAGTACTGTTGGAGTACTGAAACGACGACGTCGACGTCGTTGGAGGAGGAGGAGAAGAAAAAGTACTTTTCGCAGGAGAGTTTGGAGTTAGAAGAGGGAAGTAGTTTAGGTGATAGGCCGGAGTATTTGAGCAGGCAGTTGTCGGGGAGGGGTTGGAAGCCGAGTTTGGACACCATTGAAGAGAAGATGTTCAAGGTTGAGAAGAGGGTTTCTCATTGGCTGTTTTGATGATTTGGATTATTGAATATTGATCGTGTTCATGCATGCCTGGAATTTGTATGGAAATTGGTGTAGCACTTACTACGCACGTACATATATATTATCATGCTGCTTTTTGGTTTTTCTTTAGAAAGTTAATTAGAGATGGAAAAAAAATAATATTTAGGACACCGCGTGTAATAATCACTAAAATCAACTTAGTTTTTATTAGTATATACCACTGCATTTGTTGGACAACAAGTGTGTGGAAAACCTGCAGTTAAAAGAAAATGAAAGTATTGCTTTATTTTCTCTTTTATATTACTTCCCATAGCATTGTTCATTAATTAAAGATCGATATATTACGTCATGTGACTTGTTTTTATAAAATTGTAACTTTTATTAAATTTTAGAAACTTATCATCTATATTAGTATTACAAAGTTTATCAAAAAAAAAAAAAAACATATTGAACCAATTAGTTATTAATTAATTTAGAAACAAAATTTAGAATGGATTTATTTAAAATTTAAGAACCGACAAAGGCAAACAAATCTATATATTTACACTTGGACTTCGAAATTGCATATTCCCCATGGTGACAGCTGGTCGATCTGATAGAGTTTTGAAGTTCATAAACTCTAGTATACTATATGCAGGCCGGATATGCATAATTAATTTTGTGTTGTTTGTTAATTAGTTTGATAAGGCTGTTCGTGTATATTTTATCACTCAGAGACATCATGGGGAAATATATATATATATATATATATATCTAATATTAAAATTTGAAAACCAATATTTAATAAAAGAAACGGGTCGAGTTAGATGTATAAATATAAAGAACCTTAGCTCTTCGTAGTTTAATCCTCTGTTTCCATATAATCAAAAATGAGAAGAGAAAAAGTAATAATGTGAAATAACTTAAGTGAAATAATTCAAAGTTTAACTTTCAAAAAGAAAATATTCAAAATTAAGGATTCTCTGTCTATAATGAGAAATAATGCATCTCCTACTACTATTGGTAATATTGCCACTTTTCTACTGTTTACTATCACTTTACTTCCAATTAACCTCTAGAGGCAGACCCATTCATGACAAAATTAGGTACATCATCCAATCCATATCCAGCTTGTTAATCATGTTTTCCATATTCCTATTGATCATCAACCTCATTATTCCACTAATTACCATTTTCTTCTCTCTCCCTAAAAAGTTAATGCAAGTTGCATCAAACCCACGTCAAATTAGCTTGTTTGTAGAGAGAATGAAATTCAATAGCGCAGGAAGAAGATTAAGGTTCGTTCTTTTCACAAGTTTGAATTGAGAATTTAAGTTGAAAAGTAAATTATTTTAAGAGAAAACATTATAACAAAAAAATTGAATTTAAATTTTTATGAAAAAAAACACTATAATAAAAATTTTGAGTTGTAATTTGAATCTAAGAAAAAAAAACAGGTTGTAAGATATTATACAGCAAACATCTAAATCAATGCAATTGCAAAATATCTTCACATTTATCAATTACCATTGGTATATAATAATGACATAAAAACTGGATAAGATATATGCACCATCATTCAAAAGGCATGAAACTGAACAAAACATTTTGTAGTGGTCACCATCAATGGTGAAATTTAATGTCTCTGCTATGAAAAGCATTATTGATATATAAAAAGCAATGATGATAAATTGTATGGGCAACATACACAGTGAAAAAAGGTAGGGGAGGGAGGCAGTTGGGGACAATTTATTAAAGTTAGTTTGTAAAACAGAGATGAAAGATCAGTACCAATTTTGCGTTTGCAAGTTGTTAAAGAGAAAAAGTGTGGGGATGATGTAAGGAGTAAGGTACCATTTTGGACCAAACTGCAGTCTGACCTCAAAAAAATCCCTACCTTATGGTTAGCATAATAAATGAAGCTCTTAAATTTTTTTTTTTTTTTTCTTTTTTGGTAGGTAATGAAGCTCTTAAAGTTGAGATATATATGGGTAACAATACACGCCAATTTCAGGTTTTTTTTTTTTTTGGTAGGAGGCTTCTTCAGTTAAGTTACTACTTGTATGAACAACCAAAAGCAATAAAATACCAAGTTCTAAACATGGAAAATTGTAAGATCGAAGTTGTCATTATTTAAGTAATTATAAGTTCAGAACTTCAGATCAATGTTATTATACAGAGCACATCCTCGTGTCTTTGTTCTCCTTCCCTCCCTCCATTTTTTTTTTTCCTTTTTTTTCTCTCTCTCTTACGTAGGAGAATATCTTATCGGATAGATTTTTTAATGTTTTCTTTTTGTGACAACCAAGCAATATAAAGGATAAGAATTCAGAAAAAGGTAAAAAGGAAAAGAGCATAAGAAAAAAAAAAAAATTACAATTTTTTTATCCACATTGCGGGTAGCCGTATACCTTTCCAAGATAAACTCAAGAAAAGCTTTTTAATTCGTGTTTGAGGAAACAGATAACATCAAGTGGATGATTTTCTTTTCTTTTTCTTTTTTTTTTTTTGGTAATTTTTATTTCCTTCTGTTCTTCCCCTCTATTCCAACTATTAATCTAAGTAGCGATTGTAATATCAAGGCTTCAAATTCCCATAAACGTGGCAATGAATGAGATAAAAATTAAACTCCATGTTAAGGTATTCCTTATCTTATTTGACAAAATGTAAATAAAATAATAAAACTATAAATTAGAATATCACTGCTGCCATGCAAGTGTGTAATATTAATTCCATTGCAAGCCTTAGGTGAACTCTACCAATATCCAAGCACAAATTGGCACCAGATGAAAATTATACACGACATACATTTTTGAAAGATTCTATGGTTAGTTTTTTTTTTTTTTTTTTTCCCCACAAAACATATTCATATTATGTAGTCTTTTATTATCATATCGGAAACGTATAAAAAAAAACGCATAATTTTACATTTTTTTGGGGCGAATTTGTTTGTTTAAACCTGCACAGGTGGGAATATCTTGTTTGTATCTTTTCACAAAATTTTGTATATGAACAATTAATTATGATTGATTAATTAAGACAAATTAAAAAAATTAAGTATTTAACGACTGATTAAGATTGAAAATTCTAAAACAAATGGAACAAGCTATGCGTCATTCCTTGGATTAGTGCATGAAATCTATATTGAAATTGACCAACCAATGTAGTCATTGGACAGTGAAACGATGAATATTTGGATGCATATAAAGTTTAGTCCTATTCAGAAGCACGAGTTCCTGAAGTCAGTTTCAAGACTTCCCTCAATATAGGCCTCGTTCATTTTACCGATTCGAGTTTTCAATTCTAAGTTTCTACAGTAAAAAGCTCTCAAAAAATGTCACATCTAACTTTTTTTGCTACAGTGAAAAGTTCTCATAAAATGCCACATCTCAGCTCGAATTGAAAACTCAAATCTGCGAAGTGAACGAGACTAGTAGATTGTCTGAACTCTGGTGTGTTTACCGATGACGAGATTCCCCATATACCTATGGACCCAAAGGTAAGGATTCGGTTGGTAGATAGATCCTTTTAAAACTTGATTCACAATCAGTATTTATTTACAGTGATTTTAAGTCATGATTTTAAATCAGTGTTTAGTTTAGATGATTCTGAATCATGATTCAGAATCTGATGTGATGCTTTAAATCAAAATCACTCGTGATTCTAAACTACCCCCTCTTGATTTAAGGTGATTCAAATTTCTGATTCTGAATCATGATTTGAACCCAAAATCATGAATCATAGTTTTGATTTCAGAATCATGATTAGAATTACCTTGATTTGAATCCTTGTACCAAACGAATATATTTTTTTTTTGTGGTTGATTAAAATATTCTTGTAGTTTTTCTTTAGAAGTAATTTTTTTTTTTTAATAATTTCTATTGCTTGATGATACAAAAGTAAAAGAATCACATCTGATTTCACTGTCCAGCAATAGAATTTAGCAAGTGCTGGAAGTTTGGTTCCCTTGGTGACCTCCCTTCCAAGTCAAGCCACATACAAGCATTCCTTCAAAATCTTCCATGAAATTTACGGTCATAAGTCGATAAATTCGGTATGCTTTTTGAAGCGGATTAATTAGTCTCTTATATATATATATAGGTAAAATGGATTTATTCATCTTAAAGGAACGGCTTTGCGTGGAACATTTTTTTAAAGTATTTTTTCTTTTAAATGTTTGTTCAGTGCCTAGTAAATTATTATAAGGAACTGAGGTCTTGTTCATTTCACCGATTCGAGTTTTCAATTTTAAGTTTTTATAGTAAAAAGTTCTCAGAAAATGTCACATTTAACTTTTTCTGTTATAGTGTAAAGCTCTCAGAAAATATCACATTTTAACTCGAATTGAAAATTTAAATCTGCGAAGTGAACAATGTCTAAAATCATTTTCCCCCCAAAACGCAAACAAATCAACCATGTTGTAGTGTTGTTAACAATTGAAGTGAGAAATTTTAAGTGCTTCTTCATATACATCTGATTTTACATACCTAATATATGGGACAGACTCTATAGAAAAATGTGAATGTGTCAAAGCGTCCCTCATTGGTTCTCAATTCTATTAAATAAGGTCACTATCAGTGAAGTCCAATACTACGGAATTCATTTTTCTATCCGTGAACGGTGTTAAGCTCTATTGGCGTCTTATATAGTTCAATTTTATCATTTGTGTACGAGACACAACCAAGTGGTAGCCTGGTAGGTGATTTGACTCGTACAGTAATCATGATTCATGAACAAGTTGCTTTCCTTGGTGTCTAGACAACCTGATTCTCTCCTTGATCGTAATGCACCAATAATGCTTTACAAGGAAAATTTGACAAAAAAATTTACAAATTTCCAACAAAGGAAAAATACGGTAATGTTCATTTCACCGATTTAAATTTTTATAATAGTGAAATGCTTTCATAAATAATCACATTTAATTTTTTTATTATAATAAAAAATTTTCATATAAAATTGCATCTACACTCGAATCAATAACTAAACGGTCAGAAAATGATATAACTCTTAGGCCTCGTTCATTTCACCGATTTGAGTTTTTAGTTTTAGGTTTCTACAGTAAAAAGCTCTCAAAAAATGTCACATCAAAATTTTTTGCTACAGTGAAAAGTTCTCAGAAAATGTCACATCTCAGCTCGAATCAAAAACTCAAATCTGCGAAGTGAACGAGACCTTAACCTCACCTGATTACAGCTTGTGAGTCACAGCCTCTCCTTGGAAAGCGCGATACTAATGCCCCTCAACGGCTCAACCAATTCTTCAACCAATGAAAAGATATTTAGTCACACGATAAAGTCCTCTTCCTCATTCCAATTTCAAATTTTTTTTTTTTTTTTTTTGGATATTGCAATCTTTATTCTTTTTCCCATTGGAAACGGCAGGTAAATCCAATAATTGAAATTTGTTAAGACTAACCACTAACTTAGTGGTATGGTATTCCACAAAACCACTACTAAACGCTTTTTTCTCTCTCCTTTTTACTTTTTTTTTTTTTTTTAGGAAACAGTTAAAGAACATCATGGACGTCCAATCACCAAAATGGTTATAAATCTTACATCATCACAATACCAATTCCAGCACAGCAAATTTTCGGCTATATATATATATATATATATATATTTACACACACTACACTCTCGCTTCACTTAACTTCCATTCCACTCCTCAACAAAGAAAAAAAAAATTTATTTGGCAAAATGGCTTCCATAATTACAATACCTTTGTCCAAAGCTATGGTATTTTTTCTTCTTCTCTTCTTTTTCAGTGTTCCAAGCTCCTCAGCCAGTAGAGAGCCATTCGCTTGTGATCCGACCGACAAAACGACGAGAGGATTGCCGTTTTGCCGGACGTCATTGCCAATACAGGAGAGAGTGAAGGACTTGATCGGACGACTGGCATTGCAAGAGAAGGTGAGGCTTTTGGTCAACAATGCGGCGGCTGTGACTAGGCTGGGAATCAAAGGTTACGAGTGGTGGTCGGAGGCTCTTCATGGGGTCTCCAATGTGGGGCCCGGTTCCAAGTTTGGTGGGGACTTCCCTGGGGCCACTAGCTTCCCTCAAGTCATCACCACCGCTGCTTCTTTCAATGCCTCATTGTGGGAAGCGATCGGACGGGTAAGAAATTTTTTTTTTTTTCCAATTCGTATTAATTCGTTTAAATGTTTTAATTGTGTAATTTAAATTCCGTCGGGATCAGCTTTTTGGTCGCGTTATGTTTGTTTTTATACGTAAAGTGAAAAACCCCCATTTTGATGGATTTAATTAATCTGCTTTTTAATTCATGAGCTTAATAAGCTCCTTACAGTACATTATGCTATTTGACAAAATCATGCAAAGATAAAATCCGAAAAATTAAGAATAAAAAAAAATAAAATGTGATCGTGGTATGTGTATTGTTGTGATTTATATGTTTTGTTGGGGTCACTTCATAATATTTGCCAACAAAAACGCACCCACCACCCACGCGTACTCTTTTATTATTATTATTAATTATTGTTATTATTATTATTATTATTATTATTTTAGAAAGAAAGATCTCTCGGATCAATAAGCTGCTTTATTTAATTCATTTTATTGTATATAATTCGGATTCATTAATTCTTACTCGTAGTATAAGTTGTAGTTCTATTGTGATTTTAATTAAAAAAAAAAAATTTATGTAGATATTCTCAACTGATATCATGCGTTTCTAAAAGTTAAATCATAATTAACGATATATTCCAACAAGAAAAAAAAATATCGTACTAACTATAAAACAAATTATTTTAAAACGCTAGTGTAGAATTCTCTGAATTAAGATAAGATGGGGATGAATTATGATAACACGTTAAAAGAACTTACTTTATAGTCTTTTTTTTTTTTTTTTCTCCCTTAAGCCAAGTTGTTTGGTAAAGTTTTCAAACACGAAACAAAACGTGATTGGTTCAAACACCCAAAGTGTAGGAAAGTTGCGCAAATTAGTAGGACCAGCCTTAATTTTTAATTTTTGATTTTATTATTTATTTATTTATTTTTGAGGAACTATCCTTAAATTTTGAAGGGAATGTTTAGTTGGAAAATTTAAACTATAATTTGAATTATGATTCATAATTCGTTATAATATTTTCTCTCATAAAAAATACATATAAATTAAAAATAATTTTAATCACATAATTTTAATTTATGAACCAAACGTCTTTTAAAATACACAATGCAAGCGGTGTTGTTCTGTTTTTGTGGGCGCAGGTAGTGTCAGACGAGGCAAGAGCAATGTATAATGGGGGCGTGGCTGGCCTCACCTACTGGAGCCCAAATGTAAATATATTCAGAGACCCAAGGTGGGGCCGGGGACAGGAGACTCCCGGTGAGGATCCGGTCGTCGTCGGCACATACGCCGCTAGCTATGTCAAGGGGCTACAGGGAAACGACGGTAACCGGTTGAAGGTTGCCGCTTGTTGCAAGCATTTCACTGCTTATGACCTCGATAACTGGAATGGAGTTGATAGATTTCATTTTAACGCTAAGGTACTATATATATCTGTGTATCTATGATATATGATTCTATATCATTTATAATTATTATTTATTATTTAAAAATGTTGTATTTGTTGTAGTATAATATAAGGTACTAGTTCACGTGAATTTGATTCATTAGTCTCTGTCCGATTATTAATTATCAGAGTCATGATAGAAGGTGTGTTACAGCTAGTTTAATTTGTGCTAGATTTTTATTATTATGAGTAGGTGATCTACCTTTGAAAATTAATGGCAAAATAACGTACTCTCGAGTTTGAAAAGACATAATGGATAGCAACAAAATATATGATATAATTCTAATAATTAAAGCCTCATTTATTTTATCGATTTAAATTTTATTACAGTAAAAAACTCTCAGAAACAGTCACATCTAATTTTTTTATTATAGTAAAAAGTTTTCACATAAAATCACATCTCAATTCGAATTAAAAATTCAAATCAGTGAACTAAATAAATACTAGTGTGATGCATGGACATCACGGAGACTTAACTAATATTTTCCAAGTTAAACTAGACATTGTAATGTAGTCCTTATACGTACAGATATGTAGTAGTTTGTATAGTTTATGAACGATAATATACGCTCTTAAAATATTAATACCGTTGATGACAAAAATAGATGCGTTGCTTTGAGGAGACGACAGAAAATAAGCTGTTGTTCTTGTATCGTGTTGCTTCAGATTTAAGCATCGAATTTCACAAAATAATAAAAATATTGAACGGAAGCGAAAATTGATTCATTTAAAAAAAAATACAAAAGAAAAAATAGGATATGAGCCGCGCATTTAATTAATGTAAGAGAATCTTAGGTCTGAAAGTCTCATAATGGGTTATCCCCGTGCTTTTGTGTGGGGTCGTGCATTGATTTTTGCACTAATACCTTATCCAAACAAGAAGATGCCAAACAACAAAATTAAGCAGTATTTAACATGACTAGATTAGACAACATATATGGCTGCAAAACAAAGAGAGAAAAAAAGCCTTCTGAACAGCCCATATGATGATCATTGAGGTTCGTTTTATAGATGAATTCAGAATTATAATTTTAGATTTTAATTTAAAATTAATATTTATTTATAGTGATTCTGAATTCGTATTTGGTTTAGATGATTTTAAATCATGATTTAGAATATGATATGATGTTTTAAATTAAAATCACTCATGATTTTAAAATCACCTCCTCTTGATTCAAGATGATTCAAACTCCTGATTCTGAATCATGATTTGAACTTAAAATCATAAATCATGATTCTGATTCTAAAATCATGATTAGAATCACCTTATTTTGAATTCTCACACCAAACGAACTCTAAAAAAAGATATAATTTTAATAATTAAAGCCTCATTCATTTTATCGATTTAAATTTTATTACAGTAAAAAACTCTCAGAAACAGTCACATCTAACTTTTTTATTATAGTAAAAAGTTTTCACATAAAATCACATCTCAATTCGAATTAAAAACTCAAATCAGTGAACTAAACAAATACTAGTGTGATGCATGGACATCACGGAGACTTAACTAATATTTTCCAAGTTAAACTAGACATTGTAATGTAGTACTTATACGTACAGATATGTAGTAGTTTGTATAGTTTATGAACGATAATATACGCTCTTAAAATATTAATACCGTTGATGACAAAAATAGATGCGTTGCTTTGAGGAGACGACAGAAAATAAGCTGTTGTTCTTGTATCGTGTTGCTTCAGATTTAAGCATCGAATTTCACAAAATAATAAAAATATTGAACGGAAGCGAAAATTGATTCATTTAAAAAAAAATACAAAAGAAAAAATAGGATATGAGCCGCGCATTTAATTAATGTAAGAGAATCTTAGGTCTGAAAGTCTCATAATGGGTTATCCCCGTGCTTTTGTGTGGGGTCGTGCATTGATTTTTGCACTAATACCTTATCCAAACAAGAAGATGCCAAACAACAAAATTAAGCAGTATTTAACATGACTAGATTAGACAACATATATGGCTGCAAAACAAAGAAAAAAAAAAGCCTTCTGAACAGCCCATATGATGATCACTGAGGTTCGTTTTATAGATGAATTCAGAATTATAATTTTAGATTTTAATTTAAAATTAATATTTATTTATAGTGATTCTAAATTCGTGTTTGGTTTAGATGATTTTAAATCATGATTTAAAATTTGATATGATGTTTTAAATCAGAATCACTCATGATTCTAAAATCACCCCCTCTTGATTCAAGATGATTCAAACTCCTGATTCTGAATCATGATTTGAACTTAAAATCATAAATCATGATTCTGATTCTAAAATCATGATTAGAATCACCTTATTTTGAATTCTCACACCAAACGAACTCTAAAAAAAATAATAATTATAATACAAAAGTTGCTAAAAATCACACATCTGACGTGAGTGCGACCCTGGCAGGTTAGCAAGCAGGACATAGAGGACACATTCGATGTGCCATTCAGGATGTGTGTGAAGGAAGGAAAGGTAGCGAGTGTGATGTGCTCCTACAATCAGGTCAATGGTGTCCCCACTTGTGCCGACCCTAATCTCCTCAAGAAAACTGTACGTGGCAAATGGCGTCTTGATGGGTAATATGGCTATCCGATATAGTCTAGTGTATATATTGTCAAACAAAATGGTGGAGTTTTGTCGTTTAACTTGTTATTGGTGGATGAATAGGTATATTGTGTCGGATTGTGACTCGGTTGGGGTTTTCTACGATACCCAGCATTACACCACAACACCTGAAGAGGCAGCTGCTGACGCTATTAAAGCAGGTCATTATTTTGCCTAATTGTGTACTCACGTAAATCTTTTTTTTTTCTTAACTCGAGGGCGTCTTATGATAAAATCAAGTTTTAATAAGTATTGTCAACTAATTAATTAATTAATGAGGTGAATTAGAGAAATATCACCCTTGAATTTCAAGCATGTTACTTTTGGTTTTTTTTTTTTTTTTGAAGTTTTTACATCAAATTGATACGTATAAATAACTAGTCTTCAGTAATCTCTTGGTCTAGTGACAGTTGGGGTTTGAGTGGAGTATTATGGATTTAATTCCGTGTTGTATAAAAAAAAAATAAACAGTCTTCAAAGTGGTATACAACCTGATTACCACTAATTAATGTCCCATGAGAACTTTAATTGGTTTTGCTAATCCTTTGAATGCACACTAATTAATTGGTTTATGTTGACATATTTTCAGGTTTGGATTTGGATTGTGGGCCTTTTCTGGCGGTGCACTCAGAGAATGCAGTCAAAAGGGGGTTGTTGAACGAGGTTGATATCAGCAATGCATTGAGCAATACACTAACTGTCCAAATGAGGCTTGGGATGTTTGATGGAGAACCATCGGCGCAGCCATATGGGAATTTAGGCTCCAAGGATGTGTGCACCCCTGCTCACCAAGAGCTGGCCCATGAGGCAGCCATACAGGGCATTGTGCTTCTCAAGAATCAAGGCCCTTCACTGCCTCTATCCGCCCGCCGCCACCGCACTGTCGCTGTCATTGGCCCTAATTCTGATGCGAATGTCACTATGATCGGAAACTATGCTGGTATGTATGTTCACACTGCCTTCAGAACTAGATGCTCAAGTAAATATGTGCCCTCAAACAGTGTCGAACTCTTAACTATGTTTTATGCAGAATTATGTTGACACCCGCATCACATTTTTATGAATAAGACGAAGAATTTCACACTAGATAAAAAAGAAAAAGTAATCTTATTGATAGTGTTTTGTTTTAAACCATTAGATTCGTACATATTAAGAGGTTGTTCTTTTGCATTTTTGAGTTAAGGTAATTTAAGTAATGATCTTAAGTTGAGTTTGAGTTATAACTTGAGTTTGTATTTGGATGTGCACATTTGAGTTATGATTTAAATTGAAAATCTATTTGAGTTTGTGTTTGGGTGGGTCAAAACTTAAATTTATATTTAGATAGTATTTTAATAAAAATTTAATGGTGATGAAAAATTTTAATAGGGTATATAGGTGGGGTTTTATTCGTCTTTTTGTTGTGAATGCATAGAAAAAAAATAATCTCAATCAGAATTAAAACGAAAAAGTTATTGTATTTTTAAAAATATTAAAAATACTGTTAATTAACTTGAGTTCGAGTTTATGAACTCGAGTTGAAGAGAAAACTTGAACTCAAATTTAGCCCCAAATTCGAGTTCAAATTCAAATTTTACAAAAAAAATATGAATTTGAATAAAGTTATAACTCGAGTTTAAATTTTTTTTTAATTTATTGCATAATGTTTAGAAACATGCACTATAATAGCTCTAGAGACTAAATAGGATAACTATTAAAAACTCAAAATTAAAAGGATAAGAGTAGTCTCTTGCGCATTGTCTTTTGTCTTTTGTTGCATAATGTTTAAAAACATGCATGCACCATAAGATTTGTGCCCACTCTTACTATTTAGATCTGAACTCAAGAAAAACAGGATTCTAAGAGGATGAGACAAAATTAAAGAGCTGAGTTAGAGAGAGAGACTTTTTTTAACTCTCTTCTTTTAACATTGTAACAGTTACCTAGCAGTATACATAATACTTCAGGCGTCTATAAAATTTTCTTATTGATTAGTGGACATTTGACCCATTTTATTTTTATTTTTTGTGTGGGACCATAGGTGTTGCATGCGCCTACACAACTCCCCTGCAAGGGATATCAAGATATACAAGAACAATCCACCAGCAAGGTTGTGCTGACGTCGATTGCAAAGGAGACCAGCTTTTCAATGCCGCTATTGATGCGGCCCGTCAAGCGGACGCCACGGTATTGGTTATGGGCCTGGACCAGTCCATCGAAGCCGAGTTCAGAGACCGAGCCGGACTACTTCTACCTGGACGCCAGCAAGAGCTCGTTTCCAAGGTCGCTGCAGCATCCAAAGGCCCAATCATACTGGTCTTGATGTCTGGAGGCCCAATTGACGTGTCGTTCGCCAAAAACGACAGACGTATCAGTGGCATTTTATGGGCTGGTTATCCGGGCCAAGCCGGAGGGGCAGCCGTTGCTGATGTCTTGTTTGGAAAGAGTAACCCAGGTTAGCTTCTGAGCCCAAAAGCAGGCCCAATCATAGCCCATAACAATTTCTTTTGATTTATAACTTTTGCATAAATTTTTAAAAACTATATTACAATCCCAATATTGTCGTTTCAAAAAAAAAAAAAAAAAAAATCTCCCAATATTTTCATCAAATTTCCTTGTGTTACATGCTTTTATGATAAAGTTAAAAATGTTCGTCATATACAGAAAAGTGCCATGAAAAAATAGTCCACCAGTTGCATAAGATTTTGGAACTTAGATTCGTTCCCTGATTCGAATCATGGTTCGTGGTTCGCTACAGTATTTTCTCTCACAAAAAATACACGTAAATCGAAAATAGTTCTAATCACATAGTTCTAATCCATGAACCAAACGTCTAATAATCTATGCCATTCAATTCACCTGAAAAAATATAATCTATCGAACTTCAACGGCACAAATGTAAAGCTTTTGTATTTTGATGGCATACAATGTAATTTCCTCTAACATAAGACAAATATTATTTGATTGTAATATTCAGGTGGAAAGCTACCAATGACATGGTACCCACAAGACTACATTTCCAATCTGCCAATGACAGCCATGGACATGAGATCAAGCCCATCGAAGAACTACCCAGGAAGGACTTACCGTTTCTACAAAGGCCCAGTAGTGTACCCATTCGGCTACGGGCTCAGCTACTCCAAATTCGTTCACTCCATAGCCGAGGCCCCAACAGTGTTCTCAGTCCCCATCGACGGCCATCGCAAGGCCCAAAACACATCCACCATTTCAAACAAGGCAATCAGGGTGACCCACACCAGGTGCAACAGGCTCTCGCTGGGACTCCACGTGGACGTAAAAAACGTGGGGTCCCGAGATGGGTCCCACACCCTGCTCGTGTTCTCGACCCCACCTACGGAGAATGGCCACTGGGCCCCACTCAAACAGCTTGTGGCCTTCCAGAAGGTCCGAGTGGCCGCCGGGTCACAGCAGCGAGTCAGAATTAGTATTCATGTTTGCAAGTACTTGAGCGTGGTGGACAGGTCTGGAATCAGAAGGCTTCCGATGGGGGAACACAATATTCACATTGGGGACGCCAGGCATTCGGTGTCGCTCCAAGCTGCTACCTTGGGAGTGATTAAGTCATGATTTTTACATTTTATCGACACAATTTTAAACCGTCATATTAAATTTCAATAGATAAAATGAATTTAATGTGACGGGGTGGTATAAAAATCAGAAAAACAGAACGTCAATATTGTTAGCCATACTACCATAATGAGAGTAAAGAAGTAGAAACTAGAGGATTGCAAAAAAGAAGAAATGCTCCTAATTGGAAAGCGCTTCTGATTGATTTGAAGAAGAGGTGAGGAAATCTCAATCCTACCTTATATTGTTAATTTTTCAGAGTTGGTTTTGTGTAATTCAATGTGATCAGTTTGATATTGGTAATTGATAAATCAAATTGTACTATTCTTGCTTTAAAAAAAAAAAAAAAATGTACTATTCTTATAAATGACTACTTAGTTGCTTTACCTAAAGACATTAGGATACACCCAAAAAAAAAAGAGAAAAATATATATATAATCAGAATGCGCTAAATGAGCAAATTTTTTTCAAGTACTTATTTATTTTGATTTCTATTCTTGATATAAACTGATCGGATTTTTTAAGCCAATGACCTTCAAATGACACACCACTTAATTAATAGAATTTTTATAAAAATTATTTTGTTTTTATTTATTTTCTTTCAAAATTTAAGTTAAATTACAAAATTACCCCTAATTTTTTAAACAAAAAAAGCCTTCAGAAGAGAGGATTTGAGAAGACAAATGTGAAAATATTTTTAAAACAAAAAAGTAAGAAATCCCTTAAAAACTTGCTTCTCCTTCGTCCTATTCTCCTTCAAACGATCGAGAGCCCCCCAAAACAAAACAAAAAAAACAAAAAAACATTGTCGCCGCAAACATCATTGGAATCCACCGGTTCTCCGGCCCCTGGCCACTTGTCCGCGCTTCCGCCGTCTCTTCGGTCCCAAAAGCAACCCAGTAACTTCCTTCTCATTTGTCCCCATTGTTGGGATATATGCCCATAAATCAAATAAGATGTAAATATTTTGTTGATTATCAATGAAATGAGAAATTTTATATATATATATATGAGGAAACGTGCAGCAGCATGTTTCCTCATTAACAAAAATGATGAAAGAGTGGGAGGAAACGTGTTGTTGCACGTTTCCTCACAGTTGGATATATGGGTGAACATTTAAAAGATAATAGACACAGAAGAATTGTGTCTTCGGTGGTGACAGTTTTTCCTTGAGAAAGAAAAACGAAAAGGTTTTGCCGCACAGAGAGAAACAAAAAGTTTTTTTTTGAGAAAAGGAAAAACGGGAGAACAAAAGAAAAACCAAATAAAATTTTTGAGTGCCATCACATACTTTTGAGAAAAGTGAGTGATAACTATAGGTGGTTTCCCTATTCATCCATCTCATGTGTTGAGAAACCCATTAGAACGCCCACACGTTCGAGTTCACGTTAATCCGGAGATACATTGAGAAAGAACCGTGGTGTTTTTAGAATTTAAGAGCTCAAGACGGTGTTGGAGGAGTTTAAGGTTTTCATCCTAATCGAACGACGGTCAAATCCTCATTTCTTTCTTTAATATCTTTGTAGTTAAATTAGCATGAAATAATGATTGCATTAAATTTTAATTTATGTGATTTGATAGATACCACGCTTCCGCACAATTTTTTTTTAAAATCCGGTTTGAGAAACCAACACCCTTATCCTTCAAACGACCGAAATCCACCCAAAACCAACAAAAAAAAAAACCTTGCCTTTTGCCAGTAACATTGTCGGAATCCACCGGTTCTCCGGCCACTTGTCCATGCTTCCGCCATCTCTCTGGTCCCAAAAGCAACCCACTAACTCCGGCAAAGTCAGACAACTCCTCACCGTGAAGGTAACCTCTTTACTCCGGCCATTCCTCCCGGCACTCTTCACTCTTCACCGTGCGGTATCTGTGTTTGTTTTATGTTTTTGTTTCGTGCTCTAGATTGTTTGTTTTGTGTTCTTGGTGTGAATTCTATTATTGCATTAGTGAACACCACATGTTCGATAAAAGGCCTGACTTATTTTTGTGACATTTATTTTTTATCAATATGGGAAGCCGTCAGTAACACAGTTGGAGAGTAACTCTGAAGGAATAAGTGGCACTCCACCCCAGGCGGCTATGAGAACATCCCACCATTGTAAATGTTATTAGGGAAGCCTTAAGCGATCATCCTTAATGGGATGCAATGGTTTATAGAGTCTCATATGGATAAGTTAGACTTGTTAAATAAGGCGTCAAATGTTTTTGACAAAGAAGAAAGTTAAGGAGTAAAGAAGTAGAAACTAGAGGATTGCAAAAAAGAAGAAATGCTCCTAATTGGAAAGCGCTTCTGATTGATTTGAATAAGAGGTGAGGAAATCGCAATCCTACCTTATATTGTTAATATTTCAGAGTTGGTTTTGTGTAATTCAATGTGATCAGTTTGATATTGGTAATTGATAAATCAAATTGTACTATTCTTGCTTTCAAAAAAGAAAAAAAAAAAATTGTACTATTCTTATAAATGACTACTTAGTTGCTTTACCTAAAGACATTAGCATACACCCAAAAAAAACAAAAGAAAAAAAAGATATATAATCAGAATGCGTTGAATGAGCAAATTTTTTTCAAGTACTTATTTATTTCGATTTCTATTCTTGATATAAACTGATCATATTTAAACTGTACAGTCAATAACTATTCTACAACAGAGTTTACTTATTGTGCGTGTTTAGAAATGTTTATGGAAACGATTTTCATATTTTCTGAGGAGAAAAAAATAAAAATAAGCACAAAATGTTGTTTGGAGGAAGATTGAAGATCCGTTTAGTTCGTTAATTCGAATTTTTAATTGGAGTTGCGATGTGACTTTATGTGAAAATTTTTTACTGCAGTAAAAAAGTTAGATGTGACTATTTTTTAGAGTTTTTTACTGTAGCAAAACTTAAATTTTAAATTCAAATCGGTGAACTGAACGGAACCTGAATAAAGAACAGAAATGAAAACGTTTTTTTAGGTACGCCTAAAATGGGAGCCTTACTACAGCAAAAAAGTTAGATGTGACTGTTTTTTAGAGTTTTTTTACTGTAGCAAAACTCAAATTTTAAATTCGAACCGGTGAAATGAACGAAACCTGAATAAAAAACAGAAATAAAAACGTTTTTTTAAGTACGCGTCTGAAAACGACTAAAAATTATTTTCAACCTCTTATTTTCATTTTTTCCTCCCTCTTTCCTTCAACATAATGTATTATTTAATATATTATTGATTTGAGATTTGGGATTTATACTATTTTCTCCTCCTTATTTTCATAACTGATTTAAGATTTTATTAATTATTTAATATATTATTTAAAATACTATTAGATGTTTTCAAAAATGTATAATCAAACGGAGTTTCAGTTTTTTCTTATACTGAAAACAATCTCTCAATAAAACTACTAAAACACATTTTCATAAATGATTTCTACCTGAGATTGAAAACGTTTTCATTTTCATATTCATACAAAAAACATAGGCCTCGTTCACTTCGTAAATTCGAGTTTTTAATTCGAATTAAGATGTGATATTTTCTGAGAGCTTTTCACTGTAGTAGAAAAAGTTAGATGTAACATTTTCTGAGAGCTTTTTACTGTAGAAACTTAAAACTGAAAACTCGAATCGGTGAAATGAACAAGACTATAATTATTTTAGAACGAATTCAAAACGCGTCCGTTATGTCAACAAGTATTCATTCTTCCCCTGATCAAAAAGAAAAAAGCATTTCTTCTTACAAACATTGAATCTCTCAACTCAACCATGCCTAACTGTTAGGTACAAAGAGATAAATGAGGATTTTCCAGTCAAGTTTTAATTTGGACCGGGCTTTCTGTGTGGAGAGGGCCGGTTGGTTTGGCGTGGTCCAGGCCTTTGGTAGGAGAAATGATAAAAAAAAGTAGTACATGACGATACACCAGTATTGAGACCACAGGTACATATGTATGTATATACATGTCTGTGTCTAGTTATATAAATATATATATATATATAATATTTGCATATATGTGTACAACCAACACCACTATCTTCCAATTCCTATTTTCTAAGTCATGATTCTGGCCCTAATCCCACGCATGTTCCAGAGGGGCGCAGGTAAAACGTAAAAGAGATGAGCCACGCAATCCTTCTATCAAAAATTTCAAATAGTAATCATGACATATATTGGAAAAAACCCATTATTCCCATAAAAAAGGCTACCACTCCAGCAAAACTTCCTCAGCCCTGATCGTTATATCATTATATATACATATATATATATATACACACGCACACGCATACACACACATACATATACATACATATACACACATCCCCATTGGCATTACATAATAATGATGTAAAGAGGATATATTTTCTTCCCCATTAATCCCTGTAATTTTCAAAACCACATGGCTTTCCTTTGATGCTCGCCAAGCATTCATTAAATACACCTACTTTGTTTGTGGAAAACGACGTAAAAGAGCTATAATCGCAGCTAAAAGGGACCAGGACAGAGAAAACCTAGGCCCAGCATTTTCAATTATATGCATGCCATTGTTGTCAATATTACAGTTTTTGACTGTTTGTTTGAGACATCCAACTACGTGCGTAAGAGTCACTAGCTAGAAAATTAAATACCATGATAACAACTACTACATTACAAATACAGAGATACACTTCCTAAACGTTTCTCTATGGACATATATAAAACATACAAATGTGCATATATATATATATATATATATATTGTGAGCTGTTCTCTGTCTGTCACATTTGGTTTGTGCATGTGGTGTGTGTAAGAAAAATCCCACTAAATAAAATGATCATTTTGGAGGTCACGCGAGGGAGAATTTGAAAAAAAAAAAAAAAAAAAAAAAAAAAAAAAAAAAAAATTTCCTAAGAGAAAAAAAAAAAAAAAAAAAAAAAGAAAGAATATTTCCTAGTAGTGCAAATGTGCAATGGAATTAAACACATTTCCTAAATGGGTCAATAGTTACCGAAATAGGAAAATTTTAAAGTACGGCTAAGACTGGAATGAAAACAAATCCAAATTCCTAGATGCCCAAAAAAAAAAAAAATCCCTAATCATGCTGCATGTATGTCCCATGTTCCATGTGTTTGCTCTGATTAATTTGAAGCACACAAGGACGTGACAAAGTTAGCACAGTTTATATGTATTGGCTTTTGAACTTGACATTTATAACGCAAATAGATAACTGTTTGGTCCATGAGAAAACCAAGG